ATAAAACGAATGTAATTTAAACTAAATCTGTAGAAAAAAAAGAAATCGACAACATTTTAACGAAAATCTATTATTCTTATTGAAATGTAAGTACATTTTAAACTTCTGACAATATCGCCTATACAAATTGTTGTTACAGGTTGGTATTTGTAGTCCTGTGAAAGTTTTTTGAATAAACCATGTTTTTTCAAAAGTACAAACATTTCAAGATTTATAAGCGAAAATGGATAGTGGCTAGCAGTGGAATCCGGGACGCACTTTTCGTCCTATCTTTGCTTATAAAAGCTTGTGAATTAAGGCAATATCGAGACATACGCACAGTATGCACACATTTCAATAATTGACTGATTAATTGCAGTCTTAAACCTCAATGAGAAGACACATACAAAACAATACCAAGTGAATTTTAAGATTTAATTTAATTGATTTATTATAGGTTGTTTAACTGGTTCATGTAATCAACACATTCTTTTATTTAAAACTGCAACCTATCACAAAACAAAATACTGAAAAGTTTAAGTGAAACCATCATGGGTAGGGATCGTTACAATCTTCCTCTCATTCACTCTCTCTCTCCCTCTTAAGAGGCGATAACACTGAAACCCATGCATCAAATATATTTTATCTAGTGAGAAAAAATATCATAAAAAGTAAATTGGTTCTGAAATTTTACAGCTGAAAATAAATCGGTGCTAATTAATATTGAAGGACTTTTTATCCGTTTATTTCCATTGTTCAAAATACATCAAAATGGTCATAAATAATGAATTTGTTGCAGTGCTATATAATTCATATAAATTATTCTTTATTGTAAACTATTTAGCATGAAATTAAGTAATATGAAAACAACAAAATTAATTATAAGAGAAGATGGATGGTGGCTAGCAGTGGAATCGTTCTATTTGGGACTGGTCAGATGGAGGTAACTGCATTCCACAGTTTATGTTCACTTCGAGACTCGAACCCAGTACCGTTCGCTTCAAACACCATCACATTATCCACTTAGCTATTGAGTCATAATAGTCACCTGCATGTGCAATCAGGTGAAGTTTAAATTCACTTGATATTGTTTGCTTGAATCTTCCCATTAATGTTTAGAACTGTCATCATCCATCTTTGCTTATAATGCTTGTGACTTAAGGCAATATCGAGGCAATCCACACAGGATGCACATATGTTAATAAGAAAATGATCAATTGCAGTCTTAAACATCAATGAGAAGATTCAAGTAAACAATATCAAGTGAACAAACTTAATTGTTCAGTCAATTACTTTACATCAATTATGCATGAAAAAATTCAATTTACCATGACTACTTTTAATTTAACTTAATTATCGTATTATTTTTTTTCAAAAAATTTTATGGATAGAATTTACTAAACCATAACTAATATTAGACAGTATGGTATTGAATCGTATGTGTTTTTTTATTTACGCATCAATGATGTATTTATACATTACATAATATGAAATATGTAATTAATACTTTGATTGAATGAATAATTCGACTAACCAAATTCATAGCTCAAATTTTTTTTAAATTGTACAATTATTTAAATAAATTTTCGCGTTTGAAATTAGTTTTAATGAATTAATGATCACTGAAAATGGTAAAATGTATTTATGGACTTTTACAAATTTATTCACAATCTAATACGATATTGGAAGCTACCAAATGCCCTGGTACGGCCGAGAGTGGGGAGAGTCCGCTCTCCCTCTCCAAATGCTCTCAAATGGCCACGCGTATATAACATCTGCCAGGGAAGTCCTAATCACTGCCTTATCGTGGTGGGGGTGTTGTCTACGAAAATGAGGACGAAAAGAGAATTTCCGGCGCTTTAACCGGGTTGGTGGACATGGAGAGTTCACTTAGGGGAGTTGGAAAACCCTGATTCCGAACCAATGGTACACATGGGCTCCAGTATCCTGAGGAAACAAATGGCGTATGAACCATTCGTTGGTCACCGGCTAACATGTGACTGCATCTCCCTACTTTATTTCATTGCCGTGTGGAACTTTAGGTAGAATGTTCTGGATGTCGACCCTAAACAACTACCTGATTCGATTTGGACACCCGGACAGTAATATAGCCCTTACATTAATCGAATGATTTATGTGGTGCATATGTATTCGATGCCCCGTTGTACCAATATCTATGTGTTGAAATAAATAAACAATAAATAACGATATTGAAATATTGAGATAGAAACGAAAAAACAAAAAAAAATCATAGTCGTCAGTATACATTATTCTACTGTTCTTTTTTCTTGAAAAAAATTAGAAAGTGATGAATACACTATGATACTAATCATTAATTATATTATACAGTTTGGACATGATTGAAGATTTTTACGGTTAGAAATGAATGACAAATAAACATTATAATAAAGTATTTTAATATGCAATTTTATTTTGGAATAATTACAATGAGATAAATTTCAGTAGTTGAGATCATGAGTCAATTGAAGCTAGACCACCATGGAAAACCTGGAAGCACTGAACGGCACTAGAAATTAACACCATTGGATGCCGGTTCAATGGTCTAGTGGTTAAGCACTCTCACTCGAGACTGATACGCCCTGAGTTCGAATCCTGCGAGGTGGGGTCGTGGATGTGGATTGCTGAGGAGTCCTACAATAGAACGAAATGGCCGTCCAGTGCTTCCAGGTGTACCATGGTGGTCTAGCTTCAAATGACTCATGATCTGAACTATTGAAATACTACAATCTCCACAAACTCCTTCTGATACTAATGAGATAAATGTTAAAATATAGTAATGGGTAAACGTATTATCATCATTAATGTAATAGAAATAAAAATTAACATAATTATTGTTAATAATTTCTAATAAGAATGATACTATTAATAGAGATGGATTGTGGCTGGAAGGGGAATTCCGGATGTGTAATATTTCCTATTTGACATACGTCAGTTAGATGTACCTGTGGTTCCGTATTGGCATTTACATTGAGATCTGAACCCGGGACTTTTCACTTTATATTCTTATGTGTTATCTACCGAGCAAATGAATCTAGAAAGTCACAAATATATTCAATGAGTCTGAGGTTTTTTTCAAAGTGTTTGTATTCTCCCGTTATTAACATTTAGGACTGCAATCGATTGGTTTCTATTGCAATATGTACATACTCAGCAAATTGCCATGATATTGTCATTTAGTCACAAGTTCAAGTAAAGTTCAGTAGTTTCCGGGGCCCCCAAATGCCCTGGTACGGCCGAGAGTGGGGAGAGTCCGCTCTCCCTCTCCAAATGCTCTCACATGGCCACGCGTACATAGCCTCTGCCAGGGAAGTCCTACTCACTGCCTTCACGTGGCGGGGGTGTTACTTACGAAAATGAGAGGACGAAAAGCGAATGTCCGGAGCTTTAACCGGAACCCAAACCAATGGTCACGTGGGCTCCAGTATCCTGAGGGAAAAAATGGCGTATGAACCAATCGTTGGACACCGGCTAACATGGAACTGCATCTCCGTACGATGCTCCACTGCCTTGTGGATCAGACGTTCAGGTCAAAGGCTCGGGGTGTGGCCCCCTAAGAAAACCACCTGCTTCGGTTTGGGCACCCGGGCAGTATCATAGCCCTCACACAAATCAATTGAGATTCGTGTGGCGCATATGTACTTGGTGCCTCCTTGTACCAATACCTATGTGTTAAAATAAATAAATAAATAAATAGTAGTTTCCGGGACTGGAATTCAGAAAGTGTGTTTCTTTCTATTTTGAATTCCATAATTCAATGTATAATGAGTTAGCGTTTAAAGTGAAAAATATTGGATAGGATGAAATGTATGTCTTACATTTCACTCTTAGTCACAATTCGAATATATTAAAACTTAGGAAAAGACTTAAATCAAGATAGTTCGCTCAGGAAATACACTATACTAATAAAAACTAATCAATAGTAGTCATGAATAAAAAGATGGAAAACTACAAGTCATTACAATTATATATGGAAATGATTCAGAAAAGTACTAACATAATCTGTTTGTATTTTGTCATTAAATTGAGGAAAATCTGAATCCGATTTAAGATTCTTGATAAATAAAAAGTGTACTGTTCTATATAATAATAGTTTGAACTTATATAGTAGTCTAACATAAATTTCATTTTACCTTCAAATAATAAAATTTAACCAATTTAGTAATAGATTAATTAGCCTTTGCTTAATTCGACTATACCTTATATAGACATGTTTACCATTAGGTTTTGAGTATACGCTACTAAAGAGTTGGAGATCTAGACGAAATACGTGTATTAATTTCCGATGATTAACCAAAAAGACATAGTTTCATAATGAAAATGTGTGTGTGTATTAGTTTAGCAGTCAATCAGCATTTTCAATAGTAATAACAATTTATGGTTTCTAGTTCAAGCTAGTATAATATCCTTGTAAACTTATATACATGTATTTAATTATTAGCAATATTAGTATTTTATATATCAAATTGATGGGAGAAAATAATATCAATCTCATTTTTCACACGTTAATTGATTTTGCTTAAAAGTCAGTTATCATGGTCAACGGTCAAATCAAGTGGAATCTTAGTGTATGTACATTAAAAGGAGCAATTATAAACCTGTTAATCTAACCTTCATGCTAATATGATGATCAGAAGATAATTAATGATTTTTAATGTAGAAATTGAAATGTTTTCGTAAACAGAAACAAATTTAAGAAAAGATAAATATTTTGTTAAACAACTCTATGTAACTTATGCTCTCCTGATAAAGAAATCCAATATGCATTACTAGAATAATATGGAATTCCGAGAAGTCCTCAATAAGAATTATGCTACACGAATATGTTTTAATGCCAATGTGAACAAAAAATAATGAACCAATGTATTCTATGAAATTCATAATGTAAGTGATAAACCAATGATTAAGCTAAAAAGTGGGTATGAATATCATGACAGAATAATAATAATAATAATAATAATAATAATAATAATAATAATAATAATAATAATAATAGTCCTAACCTTCCATAAACTTAAGAGTATTCGGATCCACGACCGAGTACTTTCTTAACTGTTGTATAGAAGGCCTCTTTAAATGCTCTTTAGATCCACATGGAGTGGTTTGATCCGAATCACATACTTCCATGTCATTTTTAAGGGTTGTGAATTGGCTTTTCATAGCACCGTTTTTCTCCATAGCGTCTAATTTATAAATCATAAGGATTGAGCTATCAGGGTTTTTTTGTCCTCTGGTAGTTACTGTGTATAGTTTGTTGTTTCTTTCTGAGTTATTAAAACCAGTTTGTTTTATTTTTTCGGATTCGAACTTCAATTTTGTTTTTAAAGTGGAACGTAGAGGTCGAGAAAAGGAGTTTGTGTTGGGTGGTGTATTGTTTAATTCCACTGATAATCCATCCGTATTTTTTACTTCTGAATAATTTTTAGTTATTGCAGGAAAAACTAGACATTCTTCATCAGCGTCAGCTTGGCTGATTGACATGTCTGAATACTAGAAGTAATTTCCGACACATCAGCATGAAAAACAAAATACGGAATAACAACTCTTTAGGCTGTCAGCAATTGAGTTACTGGAAAACTATTTGGCTTTTTAGTTCAAATGGTATTAAAACTTGCTGTCGACCAATCAGATCGCATGAAATTAAACTTGTCATATCTCCCAAACAGATATCATTAAATGGGACATTGGTTCATTTAAACATTGTAAGACAAAAACATGTTAGGAAAGATCTCTGTAGTATATAGAAAGTTTGAGTGGTTATTTCGAAGTACAACCCTCACAAAAACATCTGAGATGGTGAAAATCATTACCTAAAATTTAAAACACCGAGTAGAAAAAGTGTGGGATAGTCAAAGATATGTCCAATCTTTCAATTGGATGACCAAAGTCTACCAACAATCATGTGTAACAAACAAATCATGCAAATATCAGTCCCTGGCAATCTTTTCTTACAATGAAAAATTATAAAAGTTCAGTGAATAATTTATTAAGTGGTATTTCTACATACAATCTTTTGTTTAAATGCTTCAAGGTTCTCTCATTTTGTGGCTAGTTGCGGAATATACGGGCGTTGGGTTGGTTGTATATACTGTACATATTTGTGAGTTGTGAAGGCCAGTCAGTTGTATGAACTGCAGTTTCAATAATTCTATGCATATAAAACGGGAGACAAGTTTGCACTTGTAAAATTTATCTAATAAGTGCCTGAATTGACTACCCTAATCGAATTTGTTTGGAGCTTCAGTGGAATTATCGTTGATGGATATACATTTGAAAATATCAAAAATGAAAATGACTTAACTGTATCTCTATAATCAGTAGCGGAATTTTTCGTATATTATTTCGGCTAACAAGTTTCGAAGGTTTGGTTTTGTTGATAATCATATACTGGTTAATGTTAGGCTTGTATTTAGCGTACTTAATATGCAATCTTATTCAAGTCCTAATATCTAAAGTTCTGATTAGGCTCTTGGCGCTATCAACAAGTCTTCTGTTGTACGGGCTAAGAAAAGTTCTCCTAGTTCTTTGTTTACTACCAGTTGCCCTTTGTATGAAGCTACAGTGGGTATATATAGTTCAAACACTATATGATTCCCGTTTTGTTGGTAGTGTTCGTGAACGAAAATCTGCCGGATTATGATTCCGATAGACGATCACTTTGTACTAATGATCAGTTCTTTGTAATTTCATGTCGGTTGCTCATCGTTAAGTAACCAAACTCGATCATATTTCACGTAGACTAATGTAATGTAGTATAGTTGGCTAGGCCTATTAGTGGTTTTTTGTAAGTGAAGCACTCACCTGTGGAAGTATGCTTTCTGTTGGTCATATATTACTCATTCTATCAATAATTTCAAATGGTCGAAAAACTTCCACTGTACTGGTAACTTTCTTGTTTACATTCTCGCTTACCAGGGCTATATTAACTTATGCCCTGAGTATCTTTGGGGACATAATCAAACTTAATGGACGCGAACTCTGTTCCTTTCAAATGAACCTGGAAGTAGTTAGGTGCAGGTACTTCGGAGAGTGATGGTTGGTTGATCTCAAATTCTTCATAAACTCAGAGTATCCTAGCAGGAAAAGCCTATGTAACCTCTGTACTCGTACATCTTTCCAAGTGAGACGAATCGGTTTCAACGGGAAGGAAACAAACTATCATAGAATGCCTTAACACAAATTATTGTCAAAATAAGGAGGATTAAGAACCCATTCTACACACCCTCAATAAAGTCCGAGTTCTAGTTGTGTTTTTTGGAACTACCTACCTTCAGAACTCCATTTTGGATAATACAGGTTTAAACCAACCTTAACGTGCTTTGATTGTGTAGTTTAATCATACCTAACGTAGAATACGACATTTCCATCGGTCTAAGTTGTGATTACGAAAGATGTCCAACATTTTTAGGGTTGGTGATCGATACTTTCTTGGTAGATCTATCCTCTCCAATTTGCCGAATTTTTTGAGGACAACTCACGTCTTTCATTTTGTTCCTGGGTTTATCGTACAATTTTCTTCCCTGATAAGTGACTGTAAAATCACTACTGTTTTGTCCAGACCACGATGGTATAGTGGTCAGTTAACAGATAATCAGATATTTGAAGCACTATCCAATTTTATTTATTTAACACATAGATATTGGTACAAGGAGGCACCAAATACATATGCGCCACACAGATCTCATTTGATGTTTGAGGGCTGTGATACTGCCTGGGTACCCAAACCGAAGCAGGTGGTTTTCTTAGGAGGCCACACCCTGGGCCTTCTACCTGAAGATCTGATCCACAAGGCAGTGGAGCATCGTACGGAGATGCAGTTCCATGTTAGCCGGTGTCCAACGATTGGTTCATACGCCATTTTTTCCCTCAGGATACTGGAGCCCACGTGACCATTGGTTTGGGTTCCGGTTAAAGCGCCGGACATTCGCCGTCTATGCTACATGTTCAGAATTTTCTCAATGTCTTCCTTTTTTCGACGAAGACTTGACTACCTGTTTAGATCCGTTTATGTCACAAAAGCTTCTGACTAGTCTTTGTTCAGATTTCGTAAGTGATAGTTACAAAGTGATAAGTGGTTGGACTCCAGATCAGATCAACATAAGTAAATCTAGTGTAGCCTTTAAGGTACGTAGACCAAGGTAGGTCAGCTTTGAAGATGCTTCTAGTCCAACTTCTTAAGATTAGGGAATCTATCCAACTCGTAAGCAAAGCACATATTATCTAATAGGTTAATGAACAAGAGTAAAAACGTTCTTTTAGGGCTTCTGTAATGTGTCATTTGATGCTTTCGTTTTTTTGTAAAATGCTGCTGTCACAAAGATCATTAAACTATAGCTTCAGGTTTATTTGACATCAAGTTCAATTGTACTCTTATAGCTAAGATAAAACCAGCCTTCAAACTGTTCAATCATTCTTAGCCTTGAACTATTGCTTGCCTTCTGTGGCAGCACGATGTCAACAATGCTGAGGTCCATAGACCGATGTTTAGACTTGGCAGAAGAAAAACATGAACATATTAGCTGAATAAAGTCCCATGGATTATTAAAAAAAGTTACGTTATCAAACTTCAGAGACATTGATAGCTGGACTAAGTCGTGTAGAATTTCGTAATCAAAATTTTTGGTCCAACACTAATTGAAAAGATTCAAAATTAGTTGCTTCAGTCACGTTTACCCTTCTTTAAGCTTTGTGTATTAATATTATTCAATACTCCACTTTTTGACTGCATCCGTTTCTCACTACTTTTGATACTGTTTATAATCATTTGTCTATCTTGTGGTCCGTTTCATCGCCATACTGACGTGACATCACGACGTTTTTCAATACACCTTTGTCCCAATTTTTTCTGTGCCTAGATAGCACTGACAAGACATCAACATGCTAACTAGGTGTATGTTGAACTATTTAACGTTACCCTTGTTGGCTTTAATTCTTGGGGACGAAAAGTTTTCCAGTTGTAAATCGTCTTTCTGAAGCGTACATTTGGCCATACCTGGTTCGGAAAGCTTCATATAATTTTCCAGGGTATCTGGAGTACATGGATAGTACACAGACATTGGCTGTCTAACACAATCTCAGTTCTAGTAATGGGATTCTAAGGATCAAATACTAAGATCGCCTTGTAGCTCATGCACTGAAATGACCAGATTTTTATGGTTTAGAATCCATTTTCCAGTCAGGTCTTAAGTTTGTATAATCTTATGTGTCATCCACTGACTTTTCTGATATATCTATAGGAGTTTGTTTATGTTTACACAGACTTACAAATATCTGGTCATTGTTTACAAATTTAAGTTGATGGGGACTAGGTATTTTAAACTGTCTTACCCTTCACGCCTCATCGAGTTACGCTTATAAGTTAACCTTGAATGTTCTGAGTATAGAACGAACGTAAAACTTTATGATTACGTATTAGCCCTATTCGTCACATGACACCAAAGAAAACCAATGAAAAAGGCTGAGGAAATGAAAATACTGATGCGCTTCTTACAAAACCATCTTACGTGATAAATGTTAACGTTAAGCCAATGACCAGAGCGCTTGGTTATTAACCATTATGCCTCAGAATCTAGCGTCTGTGTGTTTAGATTTGAGCAACCCAATAGTATGCCTAGATCTCACACAGAGAAAGTCCGGTTCAATCCTTGTTCATAAACCTGTATTTCGTAATGTTTCAATCATTAAGTTTCAAATAGGAATAAACGAATACCATCCAGCCACAACCCTCATAGAACATACTAATCGGTGTTATGGTATTATGACTTATTTCTCGGGACTATTGTGTGCATTTATGGAACTCTTTCTAATGACAGTAGTTCAATAACGTGGAGAGTTGTTTCTAATGTTTACTGTGTAGCTGAAATGCATCTTAATCTTGATTTTTCAGTTATTCCCTTTTTTGGTTCGAATCAAGTTCCTCTCACTAGTTTTGTCATTTATTCATCTTTAACTTCAGTAGGTCTTCTTATTTTTCTAGCCCCATTTGAGCTTTGGCTCTACTACCTGTGTACATACTTGGGATTGGTGAGGGTATCAAGTTAACACATGTCAGCTGAAGAGGTGGCTCGTGTTACTCCAGACTTGACAGGCTTGTTATCTACTTCAATACCACCCCCGGGATTTTCAGTTGGCGGTTCCACAACTTCATTGGGTGATTTGACAATAACCACTCCAGGTTCCAGTTCCATTAACTGCAAATCGCTAAGTATTGGTTATCATCCTCATTGGCCTGCTGCACTCGTAGGTTACTGGTTTTGACTAATATTTTGATATAAATAAAATTCTTAAGACGGTTTCTTATTGTTTTCTCGGAAACGTTTAATTAAACTGATTTGGAAATCTATTTCAAGATTTGACCTCGATATTTAATAATCTTTCGTCTGATCAAACCACAGTTATCCAAGTTTTATCAAACACTATTGGAAGAATTAATCATTAAACTGCACGATGGTTGACTATTAACAACATAAGTGGAAATCTCACTGTTAAGTTCATAGATACATGCTGGAAGTGTATCGTCACGGTCCACCTTTTTTCCACTTTTTGCACTAACTAACAGCTTTTCAAGACGATTCATTCTAGTACATTTAAACAATTGTCTTTTCATTTGTTACCTAATAAACTTGACAATTCCTCTTTCTGTTTCCTGTGTTAATAAGCTGTTCAGCACTCATAGTCATTATGTAAACCTCTGTTGGTGCATATTAAGGTTACCTTCTCGTCTTCGTTCTTGTAGCTCATCGGGGGATGTTTTCAGCCACCCATTTATTCTAAAGAAGCTTTGTCAGTTCACTGACCTTACTTAAATTTCTAATAAAGATTAATAACAGTCGTTACGGCTATTTGTATGATAAATTACAGTCCATCCTCCAGTAATCATGCAGTTAAACCTTCCTTGAAAGTACCCTCAGTGTTTTAATTTTTAGCCTAATAAAGAAGGTATTTTAGTTTGTCCTTACTATATATACATCGGTGTACACAGGTCTCATCAAAACACGGTTACAGTCCCACTATGCTGCAGCTCCGGATCTTAAAACTATGTTCAGACGGCTGTTTATTCTTAGTAAGTCTGGGCACTAAAAGAGAGATTGTAAAACTGGCTACTCTTGAGACTACAACAATGGACAGATAGACCATATCGATATTTTTCACCGTTCAGTCGCATAAATATCACACTTCAACCATGAGTTTTTCTGCTCCGTATTGGATCCAGGGGAAACCAACTGATCTTGAATAAAATCTCAAGTAGTCCCCAAGGTAGAACTAACTAAGCGCTTAGTCAGCCACCAATGGATTGTTCGTCGTAAAGCATTCTGGTATTGTCTCCAATCCATAATAAAAGCAGTGATGGTCGTTAGCAACCTAAATCGATAGGTTGAAAAAGAACACGATTCCGAAAGCTCCGGCTAGATTAGTGGGTTCGGAGGAATATCTTAGTATGTTACGAACGCAATAAAAAGTATGAGAAACTTGAATGTTGGCTATCAAAGTGCTTACTCACTGGTGGCATTAAATACACAGGGCAGCAATTATAGGTAACGATGGACTTAATAAAGGGATATGAGGCTAAGAATTCTTCTGGTAACGAAAATATCTCCGAGAAAGATGAAATCTTGATCTAGTCTTGAAAATGGTGACCGAAAATGAGCGGGATACTAAAGGGAAATTCAAAACCCTGCTGTTACCTTACAGTTGGCAACTGCTTACCAATGCCTCTGAGTTGGAGATCAACATCAGGTCTCCGACTCAGTAAGATTGAAACGGCTCACTTCATATGTTTTCGAGTGAATTTTCGAGCTTAACAGATTGACTTAGTTATTTGTTAGGATTCGAGCCTTGAATGTAATTGCGTTCCACTGGTTTCGGTTGCTTATCATTTGGGATGTATGCCCCTCATGAAAGCAAGATTTTGCTTCAGCACCGGTCTGAGTCATAACCATTTCGAAACAGAAAGTTAGTCGATCGCGTTGACTACGTCATCCATCATTTGAGTCCTAGCATCGCTGGTTGTTGGGTGACAAAATCCTAAAACCTGTACAAAAAACGTCCTTGGCTCTTGCAAACTTTTTTCACTTGTGAAGCGAGTGACGTTACTACGTTGTTGTAGACTTTCACTACGATATATGTCCTACTTAAGTAATGACTTGCGTAGGATGAAATCATTTAACTAAAGGTGTCCTCAAAGATTTCCTGGTGCTTGATGAAACCGTCGAGGGAGCAATGGTATTTTCTGGCGTAGAGCGAAATTTATTTATTATTTATTTATTTATTTGAACACATAAATATTGGTACAAGGGGGCACCAAATATATATGCGCCACACAAAAGAATGAGAATTTGAAGAGAAGGAGAAAAAAAAGTAATGAACTCGGGTAATTAAAAAAAAAGAAAGAACAATAATGGGGGAAACGGAAAGGTACAATCAGAAGAAATCTTTCAGTTAAGGAAGTAGCGACCACTTTTTATGAAGAAACTAAAAGAAGGTTACAGCAGGATCGCCACTGGCTTCTATTCTGAGCCATATCTGATAACGTCTCTAGCCACTGTGTTACACCATCTCTCGGACCCTAGCCAGGGAGTCGTGAAGGACCAACAGAAGCTAGCCCTTTGCGGCTTTCTTGCATACCCCGACACCATGTCATACACTGACCACCTCTCCGGTTTTTCCAACCAGTCCCAGAGTCGGCAAATAATGCACGACGAGAAATTCTCTGGGACGACATTCATAGAACATGTCCAAGCCACCGAAGTCGGTGTTTCAAGTTGGTGACACCAATTTCATTATCGTCTCTGTGCCCGAACACACGATGCCGAACCTCTGCATTACCAACATGGTGTTGCCACTGAATGTCAGCAATCCTTCGGAGACAACGATGATCGAAAACAGAGAGTCGTCTAACATCCTCAACTCGGAGAGGCCAGGTTTCACAAGCATAGAGCAAAACTGCTCTCACCGACGCGTTGTAGATTCGACCTTTTACAGCCAAACTAACATCACTAAGGCGCCAAAGATGGCCCAGATTGGCATAAGCCGTTCTGGCTTTCACTATGCGTGCATTGATCTCATCACTCACGCCACCACCAGCACTTATGCAGCTACCTAGATACATGAACTTCTCGACCATTTCTATCTGCTCACCATCCAGAGTGAGTACAGAATTAGAATCCTGCCAGTCTTGTAGAAGTACTTTGCACTTTGAAGGTTCAAAGCACATACCATACCTACGGACACTGATTGCCAACTGATTAAGTGCGGATTGCATAGCTTGGACATTCTCGCATAGTAAGACAATATTATCCTCATACTCAAGGTAGAGAAGTCCCCATCGGCCACCTAAACGACTCTCTTCTGTGCCTAGACGCCCGACCTGAGCATTCAAGTCTCCGGCTAGTGCTACAATATCTGTCGAACGCACTTTCTGGAGAAGAACAGTTAACTGGTGGTAGAATTCATCCTTGATTGCATCCGGGCTGCGATCTGTCGGGGCATAGGCGGAAATGACGAAAAGACATCGTTTCTCACTCCGGTTTCTTCTCACTTTGATGGAACTTTCTAATCTAACAACACATAACCGACTGTTAATGGGGATCCAGTCGATTAGTGCTGCCTCAGCTCTAGCGCTTAGTGCGACACCAACGCCAGCAAGACCAGACGAAAATGCCACAGGGTCCCCGGATAAACGCACATGAAACAAGCTTTTTGAAGCGACAGATGGAGAGCGAACTTGTAGTACTTCACCAGAGTCTTGAATACGGGTCTCAGATAGACAACACACATCAATATTAAGACTTTCCAAAGACATAGTCAGCCCTATCTGTTGTCCGACCTGCATAAGTGTGCGAACTTTGAAGGCAACCAGTTCGAATGGTGCATGTGGTTTCCGAAAAACTGCTTCAGTACTCGTATTCAGTGGTAACATACAATTTTCAACCAGGCAGTGACTCGAGAACGTTTAGATAGAGCCGAATTTTCACCATAGGCGAGCTGCTGTCTAGGTCGAAACGGAGACATAAAGTAGGAAAAGAGAGGTTGAATAAGTGACGTGGTAAAATAATAATAATAATAATAGTACGAGTCATTTCAATGTTAATCAGAGAGAAGGGGATATTTTCCATAAGCAAATAGTTCATCATGATTTTAGTGCGTGGGCTGAGATACTGCCCGGGTGCCCAAACCGAAGCAGGTGGTTTTCTTAGGGGGCCACACCCCGAGCCTTTGACCTAAAGGTCTAGTCTACAGGGCAGTGGAGCATCGTGAGGAGATGCAGTCCCATGGAAGCCGGTGACCAAAAGTTGGTTCATACGCCATTTGTTCCCGCAGGAGCCCATGTGCACCATTGAATTGGGATCCGGTTATAGCACCGGACATTCGCTTTTCGTCCTCTCATTTTCGTAAGTAACACCCCCGCCACGAGAAAGCAGTGAGTAGGACTTCCCCGGCAGAGGCTGTATACGCGTGGCCGTGTGAGAGTATTTCGAGAGGGAGGGCGAACCCTCCCCGCTCTCGGCCATACCAGTGCATTTGGGGGTGGCAAATCGGATCCGTAACTTCGGGAGAAGGATTGGCTCTGGGGGCCGAGTCAGACGGGCCGAGATCAGATACATGTCGTTCCAGTTGGGGGGCTGGTTTCTTTGCTGCTTCGTGTGCTTCGGCGCACAATGGTGAGGTTACTGGACTCTGACCCGGGTCGATCGTGGGCGGTTTCAGCTGTTAGTGTCGTGCAGCTAGCAACGCGCGAGGACTTGTTTCACGTTGCGTCAAGCGGCTGTACTTCCATGGTCTGGCGCGCGACGGCTAACTCAGGACTGGCACGGACCAGGGGAATCCGACTGTCTAATTAAAACAAAGCATTGCGATGTCCACTGATTGGTTTTGACGCAATGTGATTTTTGCCCAGTGCTCTGAATGTCGTAGAGCGAAATATTAGAATGGGAAGTCGACTGATTAGTGTACATACCTTTTTCGACTGAAATAATTGGGACAAGTATTATGTACACCCAGTCATCTCTAAGACCGACCATAGCTGCTACCTTGACGTGGTGGTCGGGCTTGCCTATCGTGATGACCCAACCGAGCTATATTGGCTGGAACACATGTTCCTGTAGGTTCTACCATGCCAGGCAGGTCGATTGGAGAACGGTAAGACTAAAAGCAGCAACTCAAGGTCTGAGGGCGAAGTCGTACTGCTGACTGTACAGAGGTGTGACAGCAGTAAGGTGTTTCCCTCGGACAATCAGCAT